GGAAAACCACAATAACTAATACAAGAAAACTACAATAACTAATACAAGTAATACAAGAAAACTACAATAACTAATACAAGTAATACAAGAAAACTACAATAACTAATACAAGTAGTACAAAAAAAACTACAATAACTAATACAAGTAATACAAAAAACTGCAATAACTAATACAAGTAATACAAAAGAAAACTACAATAACTAATACAAGTAATACAAGAAAACTACAATAACTAATACAAGTAATACAAAAAACTACAATAACTAATACAAGTAGTACAAAAAACTACAATAACTAATACAAGTAATACAAAAAAACTACAATAACTATTACAAGTAGTACAAAAACTACAATAACTAATACAAGTAATACAAAAAAACTACAATAACTAATACAAGTAATACAAAAGAAAACTACAATAACTAATACAAGAAAACTACAATAACTAATACAAGTAATACAAAAGAAAACTACAATAACTAATACAAGTAATACAAGTTAAAGTTTACAGTCTACTTCATTTTACTCTTTTGGTGACACATTCGATCCATTTTGCTATACTGACATCAAGTAACTTTACAACCTTGCGTAATATAACGAATGGAGTTCAATAAGCTAAAACGAATTTGATCTCTTACCCATCCAAAAGGAGCTACAAACAGATAAACATTATAAATTAAATTTGGTAACAGGAAAAGATAAAATAAATAAAGTAAGGTAAACGTAGGATGTCACGTAAGTTTTACATCAATATCGCTTGTTTCCATCATATCTCGGCTCCTCCATTGTATCAAAGTAAGTCAATACACTAGAGAAGCTCACAGAACTTCTCAACATAAGATCAACTTGCATACTCGAAGTCATGTTGGCTAATATTTCCAATGAGTTCTACTTTATTCACAATACACAGATTATTATTTATATGGGCTGGTAATTCTACTGATTATTATTTATATGGGCTGGTAATTCTACTGATTATTATTATTACCCATGATTTCAATAATTACGAGTCCAGCCTTTTCATCCTGTAAGCATCAGAAAAGAAAAATTACATGAATTTTGAATTATTTTCGATGTATTTTAGGTTTACCAGTAAGTAACTGCAGTATTTCATTCCATGGTATTGAGATGTAATATAAATGATTGAATACAGAGCTAAAAAGTCAAAGCAGCTGACTCGTTTCCTCAACTTGTTAACCGAAAAGATATATGCTAAGCCTTAGCTTCTCTAAAAACCAGCTTATTATATGTAAGCTCTAATTACTTGATTTTGTTGCTTTCACTGAACCTTAGTTTGAACTTTATTGAGGAAAGTATACTTGTATTAAAAAGTCTCGTCTTAACGCATTGTTTTCGTTTTTTAGATGGCAGTTCTATTAGTTAAATAGTCAAATTAATGTTTATTTAATATGGAAATAAACAAGTACAACTTATCGTTTCATCACGACAGTGGTTGTTTGGGTTTGAAACAAAGCCACCTCAGGCTGTGTCCACCGCGGGAAATCGAACCCCAGATTTTAGCGTTGAAAGTCTGTAGACTTATCCCTGTCCCACCTGGGGACAAACATACAGTGGACGATGATTTTAGACTTTGCTACTCTTGATTTACGGTCTTGGGCAAAGAGAAGTTTCAAAACGGAAATATTTGACAGAGTTTTTGGAGAACCATGTAGATAAATCAAGTGTCATATCATTCACTAGTTTTTAATTTATAATCTCAGCAGAGTTATTTTATTATTTTCAGTCTGTGATTATTTAAAAGTGCAGTACATTCACAATAATAAAATCATTCTATCATGTTATATTGAGGACATCAATGTTGTCTGCATGTCCTTTTTCTTGGTTCTTATATAGATGATGTTTCGGGCTTCATTCTGATCCTTTACTTAAACTCCGATAAAGAATATTTTGAACAAGATATACTTCCAGACGATGAACATTATACATCATACATTATTATAAACATCCATCTTAACTCCAACTCTACTAAATAGTCTTGCGAATTAAACTTCGATAATCAACTTATCTTATTTATATATACTTTTACCAATAAGTATTTGGCTTAGCTAGACATATTCCGATTGCAGCTTTGAGGTTTGCTCATACTCATAAATAAATAAATACGTTATACTCTAGTTTGAAAAATACTAACTAACTAAGTAATTAACTCCTTTTACATGTGAGATGTTTGTTATATTTAACTTATCAATTTTGAGCTATAACAAATTGTGTTCAAAAATCTAATTTTGAGAGTATTGTCAGATTGAAGTAGAAAGCTAATTGCTTATATTTCAATATATCTGCAGAGAAACATGTAATGCGCTTTTTTCAAGCAATTAGTTTGGTTTGGTTTTGAATTTCGCTCAAAGCTACATCACCAAATACATATGTTCTACACTACACTTATTTACTAATGACAGTATCCGTTGTTGTTATTCCGTGATTGCGAGATATGTATGTTTTATAATATATTATTACCCACATATGGTGTTGTTATTCCCTCATTACCAGCCATATATATATTTTATACCATATTTTTACTACTAACATACACCCGTTGTTTCTACTTTTTCATCTTGTCTTGTCTTGAATTTCGCGCAAAGCTACTCGAGGGCTATCTGCGTTAGCCGTTCTTAATTTAGTAGTGATAGACTAGAGGGAAAGCAGCTAGTCAACGCCACCCACCGACTAAGTAGTGGTGAAATTTGGTGATGTAAAGTGTTTTTGGTTAGAAATGCCAGGGAATGTCTGACACAAAATCGGGACTAACAGATACCAGGGAATGTCTTACACAAAATGTTAACCTAAGTTTCCATTACTACTCGCTAAAGTATTGTATGACACAAAGTGTACGTGTGTACCACAATGCAAAAGCTGGGCATCTCAGAATAATCCGAAAGAACAGACCATCAGTTTTCCACTCAAATAGACTAATAATATATACAGTCACAGTCATCTAAAATTCCATGCTTATGTTTCATTTAGTAATGTTTTCATGCTTAACTATACAAAGATGTCTATTTTAAAAACTTGGTTGGTTTGAATTTCGCACAAACCTACTCGTGGGATATCTACAAAAGCCGTTCTTATTCTAGCTGCGATAGATTATAGGGAAGGCAACTAGTCATCGCCACCATTCGCCAACTCTTTTATCAACGAATACTGAGATTGACCCTCACATTATAGCGTCTCCACAGCTGAAAGGGCGAACATATTCGGTGATAGAGATTGGAACCCGTGACCCTCAGGTTGCGAATCCAGCGTTCTAACCATCAAGCCATGCCAGGCCTTCCAAGCAGTTAGATTAGTGATGATAATTCCACTCTTCCGTTTATATTTACGACTTTTTATTTATCTTTTCTACCATAACTAAACGGATTACAAACGCAATTAAATG